TTTTTTTTTTTACTAAAAGGAGAGATTTTGCGAGGATTAGGTACAAAATTGAGCAAAACTTCAGGTCCGGGCATGCTCATAAGCCAAATTTTTTTTTTTTTTTTTTTGCATTTGTTAAAGTTGACGTTCAATTTTAAATATAGTTTTAATTCGAACTTTATCTTTGTAAAACTGAGTTTATTTGCGTCTAAGTTTGTCACGCAAATTTACAATGTAGTCAGCTTTGCCAGATGTTACCTCAAGAAAATTATTTTGGGTTATGGAGAAATCACTAGCAATTTAATATTTTTCGTTTCACAGAAAATAGATTCACAATGCTTAATTCAAAATAATTCTTGCGAATTGACTCGACTAGAATTTTGTAATATGGATAAAGGTGTAAATATATCAACAATGTTTTCTTGACGTTTTTCCTAAAAGGCGAAACTTTTAAACTTGCTTACCTTGGCTGCGAGAGACGAACGAGGGTCATCTAACAGTGCCCATACTTTTGGTCGAAATCGACTCCATCTTTCTCTAAAATCTGTCTTCATGATTGTCTCCGAACCAAACAAACTTGCAATCGTCCTTTTTCCTTCTGCCTTTGCACTGTCGCAATCGCCGGAGGATTTCCTGGCGTTGTCGAGATGAAATGTTTTCAGTGTTTCTTCGGTGTTCATCTGCCTCTTGTATAAAACCCAACAGCAGGGCTCGATATCTCGGTCGTTGATACCCCAGTAAGATAACTCCTCTTGAAATAGCGCCGAACAAACATCCACCGGACAGTGCAGCTTTCCGATGCGATAATAGTTCAATACCTCGGTAAATATACGCGGATGTCGGTCGAAAAAATACTCGCCTAACACCGGGTCATAATCCGGGCTGTTTGGGTGGTTTTCCGCTATCCACGAGAGCCTTGTGTCCGGGACGTTTTTTAAGGTTGTCAAAAACGTGTTATGCCGATATCCTCCAACGTTGATTGTGATCCTATCGCTTCTTAAAACGTCGAATAAATTGTCGCCAGTAGAGGAGATTTTGCTAGCCATTTTGTTTAGGGATAGTTAGAGCCCGAGTGTCCTGGTGAAGTTTTGTTTCGCGTCGATCACAAAAACGCTGACGCAAATGTTCGAAATCTCAGTGAATCTTGTCAATCTTGATAACCGCGCAATTCCTTGTTCTAGGAGCAAAGGTGTCCCAGTTTTAATTAAATCACACACTGAAAGGATTGTTTAAGCTTGATCTGTTGGGTGACACGTTTATTGCATCGCGAAACTCTTTTCAAAAGAGTTTGTTTATAGTCTACTCGAGTAAAGCGAGAATTGGAATAAACGAGCAACTGGCGTTGTTTTTAAGCAAACTTCGAATCGTCGGTGATATTTTATTGTGCGTCGAAACAGTTGGAGCTGTGCCTCTCAATTGATACTTGTGTTTATTTTCTTTGATGTGTCTCTTTTGGTTAAAATTGCTTATTCACTCTAGTTCACCTGCAGGGTTTTTATGTGCTTTGTTTGTTTTTGTTCATTGATCTAAATTGAACTGTCTAAGTCACAAATTCTAGTTTAGCACAAGGTAAACACCAGCCTCAAGCCAAAGAAGCCGCTAATAATTGACAATCCAAGCGCGTAATTAGATTAGAGTCCAACACAACAGTTTTATTTATAAATCTCTTGACTTTTTGTTTGTGTTCCCGGCCTACGCAATTTCAGTTTAACTTCGTGAATTTCTAATTTGTCGAGAGAGGCCTGGATCGGTGTTGCGGGCTTGAGGAGTTAGTCGCCCAGTCCCTCTCCTGAATGTCTCCAATGCAGGAGAATGACGTGTGACTGCCATGTTTGGTGATAGGCGTTCTAATACCTATCCGGCGAGCTAGGATCACCAGCCATCAGAAACAAACTGAGAAGACAATTTACCAAGAAAGGTTTCCTCAGGTTGAACAGAATTTTTAATCGGTCAAGAATTCGACGAAAGTAAAACTCGCGGTTAAGAATCTATTATACTTGTAGGTCTCCTTGAAGCACGGAAGAGAAGACAACAAAAAGAAAGAGTTCAAAAGGAAAGCTTTAAAAAGTAAGCCCTTGGTACGAGAATCAGGAAGCATCCGCATTACGCCGGAGAAATTTGAAAACGCTGCTGTTTCTACGGTTACGCCGTACCGTCCACACTAAAAGTCACGAAAAAAGAGCTTTACGAAAAACGCTCTTCAAACCGGAGGAATTCAAAAACGGAGCTTTTCGAAAACGATGATGGTCACGACAATCATTTGATTTCCCTGACCGAGTGTTTTTCAAATACAAACCCAAAATGACCGGTGATTGTTGCGTTTTCAAATTCCTCCGGCGTAGTGTGGACGGAAAACATTTGATGCGTTTTCAGAGTAAAACCTCCGTTTTCAAATTCCTCTGGCATAGTGTCGACAGTGCCTCAGATCTTTCACGCTACCGTGACGGAAGCAAAAAGACCAGAACACTCATTACCCCTTCTTTTATTATCTACGGCTTACAGAGTTAATTCTTTTTCTTAATGCTCAATATTCTTTTTCAGTCTGCATGTCCTCGCATCGTTTCCACCAGTTATCAGGTTTCCCAAACTGATTCAAAGAAGGAAATCTTCATAACCTGGCTTTTATTTGGAAGCTGTGAAGGAAAAAATATTGTTTTGCTCAATCATAGAGAAATTTACCTTTACTCTTTTCCTGAAAAACTTTATTCCGTGCTCATTGTTGTTGCTTGTTATCTTACGAGACAATGTTTTATAATAATTTATTATGCCCCTCTCACAGAAACGCCTCTGAGGGAGGACGCACTTTCGCCGTCAGAACTATTAAGGATTGGAACAGTTTACCCCGGTCTTTAAAAACAGAGAAGTCCGTTAAATCGTTTAAGGCTAAATTATATAATACTATTCTTAACTCTCAGAAAACTAATGGAATTTTTTAACTCTTATTATTCGTAGTATGTTTGAAATTGTAAGTCCAGTTTATTATTTGTAACCATTTTTAATAGTAACTTAATTAAGTATTTTATTGTAAATAATATCGTATTTTAGCGTTTTATTGTAAATAATATATTTTTAGCATTCTAATTATTTTAAGCTGAGGGCCCCAAGTTTATCAGTAACTTAAGTTACTGTCACGGGTCACCCTCATTAAATAAAGTCTTTCACTTCACTTCACTTCACAATCGCTCATATTTGTCATGGTCGTCGCGCGTTGTGGGGCCGCCATCTTGAATATACTTTGGCGAACAAAATCTGGACAGAAGGCAAAACTAAACCGGTTTTGTTCCTTAGTCAAATCAGGATGTGCCCTCTGTAGTAACAAGTTGCTCTCATTATTAAGACAAAATGAAAACATTTAATTATATTGGAAATAGTGCTTTCCATTTTGGCTGAATGATAGAATTCTGGGGTGAGTACTTGGATAAATGTTGTGTTCACATTAGTGCGCAGTCAGAATCCTATTCTGGTATCGTGCTCGGGTTCCAAGTGTGGACATAGCCTAGAGAACATTGTGATATAGTTTTACTCACTCTACACGCGCACGCAGTCGGACCAAGGAAACTCCTTCCCTCTTGAGTCCCACTCCCTTGTCACTGCGTTGTATTCGTAGTACGGAGCATGTTCTCTCTCTGGTTGGAATCCTTTTTCACAATTAACCTGGCATATTTTGTCCCACCCAAAATCAATGCAGAATACGTTTCCATTGGCTGGGTCTGGCGGTACGGCGACGCTGGCTTCTGACGAGTAAAACAAGAGAAAAAATAGCGCAAAAGTCTTTGCACGCTCGTTCATTCAAAATCTTATTAAAGGAGCTGCGCATCTTGAAAAGTTTAGATTAAGTTTTTCAAGTTCATTCGTTCGTTTCGGTCGTTTGTAATCCATGTTAATCCTCTCCATCTTTGTTCCCTTTGTATTATGTTTATCTCTTGGGTGTTTTTCTATTTTAGTAAACTTTTATTTTCAGGTCTCCTTCGATTTAAAGGTAATTTTGTGCGAGCTGGCTAAAATAACTCCAAATAGCGTGGCTGAGCTCCTTAAATGACAACCGAGTCTGTAGCTACTTACATTCCTTATCCATTGCAATCATATCAATAGCTTTCGCTAGTATGAGGGGGGCTTAATCACAATACGATGGCAAACAAACGAATAAGTGACCATTGCCAGCATTGCACGTGCGTTATAAATCTAAACACATTTCGTGGCGGTCTTCTGTGAAATTTCGCACGGAGAGGTTTGGCAGACACGACGATGATTTTCGAGTACAAAGGCAACTGAAAAGCTATTTCGTTTTCCACCTACAGACTCTAAACGGTTTTGCGAATTTCTTGTTGTGTCCGTCGTTGTTAACACTTTCCTCAGCTCCATACCTAAAGATAACGACCAGTGCCTATCTGAACATGATACGGGTTATTTCCGGCACATGGTTGTTTCGTAGAACACTACTTAGAAATGTGCCAAGATTTATAATGTACGTGCAGATCCATAATTAGGGATATCGAACGGTCTTTGCGAGCGTTTGCGAGCATGCGAGCAGTACGTTTATTTCTGCGAGGACGAGCAGTGATCAAATTTGTCTTGCAAGCAGCGAGCACTTTAGAAAATACAGATGGCGAGCGAGCGAGCACTTCGTAAATTTAAAATTGAACGGGACCATTCGGTACCCCTGTAATTGCCAGCATCATGGTGCTCCACATACTATCCTCACCCCTCTTACTCCCACNTTGGCAAACGTACAACGACAAAAGATATACTTCGGTGCGAAATACTCAGTCGAGGTGATGGGAAAGTCGTGGCTAAAAAAGTGTAAAATAAAAATGGAAGGAGCACGAAAATGTGTGTTTTTTTTTAAATTATTAATATTATCATTTCTAAAGTATAACTTATGCAGTTCATTGCAATAAAACATTGCCTCATCAGTAACAATTTCCCGAAAACCCACATTTGCCACGAAGTTGATAAACTGGTGTGAATTCTCCCGGCTGTAACTCTTTTCGCGAAGAAATCCTAGCCATTGTTCGCGTCAATATAGATCTGATTTTCGTTACAGACATCCAAAATTTTAAAAAGTCGATTTCTACAATTACCTGCTAACTTGCATTTAATAAAAACCGTTAAGTTCATTCTAAGATGGGTTAAAGATGAAGATGCGGCTTTCTCTCAGTTAAGCAAGACGAATTATTCATGTGAAGTTCCAATCCTCAGTCCTTTTGAATGATTATTCCAAAAAAACCTCATTGGAAAAGCAAAGACAAGCGAAAACTTTCACCGACGCTAACAAAAAAATGGCCGAGCAGGTTCAAATCCGACGAGAAAGCCCGAAAGTCATTGCAAGGTAACAGAATTAACATTGCTAGTCAAAGACAGCAGCGAGTTACGTTTTAACCTGTCTTCCTATGAGTAAAGATTTCGTATTTTAATATTATGACTCCCCAATGTGTAAATCGCAATTTAATTTAGACAATCTTACCCGAGTCGACAATGGTCCAACAGAAGAAAACAGCACAAAAAACAAGAAATATCTTCATAATTGCTCAGTTGAAGTTGTCGCTAATCCGTAGTCTGGCGAATATTTTACGGATGGTCACAGCACTGTAGGCTGATCATGTATTATCAACTAATTTTTCACAGCTGTGACGAAGTGAATAACAAACAAATACTAACAGCTAAACAATTAAAACTGCAATAAAAATATGAGATTTAACGTAAAAATTTAAACACAGGTTAGATGAGGTTAAATTATATGTAAGTAATCATTGGTTGGCATCAACAGCTGATTAAACGAAATCCACCGCAGTTTGAACTAAAGAGAAGAACATTTCTTTGCGGATCTTCGTTACCAAAAACGTCGTGTTTTCGGGATCCAGAGCAAGGCAAAAAGGGATACAACCTTTCAGAATATAGCAAAGAAGGCTTTTTGTTCGAAGAAGACTTGTCATTCCATCTTCGTTAAAGAGAGTTAATTACCATGGAGGTTCAGTGTGAATAGGCCAATTCGTATTCTCGGTTAGCCTGCAATGGAGACTCATGTGGGGGGAATAGAATTATATCCAAAAAAAGAGAATTTGAAACTGCACAGGAAAATCAAAACACTCTTGTACCGTAATGAGTTATCAGGTAGTCTGGTCATTTCTTGAGTCATTGCTTTACAACATGGGTTCCTGTGACTAAAAGAATCATTCTAATAAATTCTTAGTAACAAGATATTTTCCAAATAATAATTCTTCTCTCTATCTGGCCGTGCTTTTCTCGATATCTGCTTGCTATTACGCGACAAGCCTCTCTGATGGAGATACACTGACAACTGCGTAAAAATAACAGTCAAAACTCTGAACGTTTTGATCAAAGGATTATCAAAACTTCATGTAGGAGTCTATATCGAAATCTCTGTGCGGCGAGGCGCGCACGTCTGCTAAAGCGTTGTAGCTTTAGTAACTGGGAAAATTTGTCAGAATGAATAATGCTATTAAAGTCACGTGTTTTATTTTTATCCTGCAGAATCTGACCTAAATTAAACAAATAGCTCAATAGCAAAGGTCTGGTGAAAACCGCCACCAGTCTGATATACATCTAGTCACGAGACACTTGTTTCACGGTGCACTTCTGTTTAAAGGCATAGCTACAGTAAAAACCCACACATGAAAACCTAGTGGTTTAAGAACCTGCTGGCAGAAATTTGCCACACCTAAAATCTTAATGAACCTGTTTAGCCAAGCAAGGTCAAGCAGGTTCTTATATCTACATTTTCTCTTGATGTGGGTTACAGTTGAATATGAACTCTTGTTATAGAGGCAAATGCACTATACATATATATCTGAGTAAGAAATAGAAAACATGTACCGTGTTTCTATCGAGTTATAGAAACACGAGTGGAAGTTTGGGAGAACGAGAAATGGTGCGGGAACACCAGCCGCAGGCGAGTGTTTCCACAGCTTTTTCGAGTACTCCCAAACTTTCACGAGTGTTTCTATAACTCGATAGAAACACGGAGAACATGTCTTTTATTTCTTTTAGAAAACAACGTGACGAAAAAAGGGAAAACAACTTGTTAACTTTGATTATCAAAATGTAAATTCTCTTTGCTCGCGCCATCATAACGTCAACAGCTCGTGCTAGCTCT